TTTCAATTGTCTACAATTCATATCTCATTTAGAAATCTAGAGGAAGACCTGGTTCCCTCCTATAATATCAAAAAGAAAAATCAGAACTGTCCTAATTTACCAGGAGGACCCTGCACCTGAAAAACACTTCCCTGATGTCATCCCTTCTACGCAAGCAAGCAGGATACCCCAAAAAAATTAGGCCATTTTGTGTGTATCTAAACCCAAAAGAAAAAATGTAATCTATCCTTGCGTGCCAATTCTTAGATGTGGTGTCTCTATTAGTTTTATTTTTTTCCTTATTTTCTCCTGATGATCCAGACAGTAAGGTTATTATTTTTTAACTTATTTTTCCGGACCAAGCTGTCCAATAAAAGTGGCAGGTAGAGGGTTGAAATAAACCATTTAACAACGACAGTGGTTCTTACAATGGTTACTTTTTTAAATAAATTTACGGGGGAAAAAAACAAAAAAACTCTGTATGGGTTGACAATGCTGCTGTTCAATGGTGGCTCCATTGCTTCTTCATAGAGTGGAGCCACCCTAAGGCAGCAAGTGTATTACTGGTCAGATAACCAGGTAAAAATAAAAGGAAACAAATTTAAACAAATGCAGCTACCAAATTTAAGGATTGGTAAGTTGCAATATATTAAATGTATTATTGTTTTTGAGTTTATATACCTGTTGTCAGTAACACAAGGGTGTATTTAAAATTGAAAAATGGCCTTGAAAGAAAGGAAGGGAGTTAACATGCTGGAATTAAGGTGGTTTAAAAATAGGAGTGATCTGACAACACACTTTAATTGAGATTTAAAAAATATTAAAAGGAGAACTATGAGGTGAGTGCTTTTCACTCACCTCATAGTTCTAGCCGACCTGTGACAATGAGACTGTCACAGGTCGGCTCAGTAGTTTGGGAGGTGAGCACACACATACCGGCGTTCGCTCACCTCTCGATCCTGTCACAACTCTCTGCCGTGACAGGGGAGGGGCTGGATTCCCCCCCTCCCCGCTCCGATCCGCCAGCGCTGACTGGCGGAACGGATGGGGAGGGGGCGGGTACAGCTGGCTCTGCCTCTATATATTCAGTATTTTAAGATCTTTTTGTCAGATGTTACTATAGTATATTGAAGTATAATTACAAGCATTTCATAAGTGTCAAAGTGTCAAAGCATTTCATAAGTATGCAAAGAGTCAATATTTGAAGTGTTGACCCTTCTTATCCAAGACCTCTGCAATTCGCCCTGGAATGTTGTCAATCAACTTCTGGGCCACATCCTGACTGATGGCAGCCCATTCTTGCATAATCAATGCTTGGAGTTTGTCAGAATTTGCGAGTGTTTTTTTGTTCACCCGCCTCTTGAGGATTGACCACAACTTCTCAATGGGATTAAGGTCTGGGGAGTTTCCTGGCCATGGACCCAAAATTTCGATGTTTTGTTCTCCAAACCATTTTGTTATCACTTTTGCCCTATGGCATCATGCTGGAAAAAGGCATTGTTCGTCACAAAACTGTTCTTGAATGGTTGGGAGAATGAGGATGATTTTGTACAATTCTTTATTCAAGGTTGTGTTCTTAGGCAAAATTGAGCCCACTCCCTTGGCTCAGAAGCAACCGCACACATGAATGGTCTCAGGATGCTTTACTGTTGGCATGAAACAGGATTGATGGTAGCGCTCACCTTTTCTTCTCCGGACAAGGTATTTTCCAGATGCCCCAAACAATCAAAAAGATAATTCATCAGAGAAAATGACTTTACCCCAGTCCTCAGCAGTTCCGTCCCTGTACCTTTTGCAGAATATCAGTCTGTCCCTGATATTTTTTCTGGAGAGAAGTGGCTTCTTTGTGCCCTTCTTGACACTAGGCCATCCTCCTAAAGTTTTCGCCTCACTGTGTGTGCAGATGCACGCACACCTGCCTGCTGCCATTCCTGAGCAAGCTCTGCACTGGTGGTGCCCCGATCCCGCAGCTGAATCAACTTTAGGAGACGGTCCTGGCGCTTGCTGAACTTTTTTGGGCACCCCCGAAGCCTTCTTAACAACAATTGAATCTCTCTCCTTTAAGTTCTTGATGATCCGATAAATGGTTGATTTAGGTGTAATCTTAGTAGCATCATTATTCTTGCCTGTGAATCCCTTTTTGTGCAAAGCAATGATGACTATGTGTTTCCTTGCAGGTAACCATGGTTAACAGAGGAAGAACAATGATTTAAAGCAGCACCCTCCTTTTAAAGCTTCCAGACTGTTATTCTAAAAGGTGCCCATACACCTTACAATTATCGTCCGATAATCGTATGCTATCGCGTTTTCGTCCGATAATCGCAAGGTTCATGGGCAGTGTACAACCGCAAATACTGTACAATCGTACGACTTGACTTTCAAGCAGGTTTGGAAACTTTGGCCGATCTTACGATTTTCGCAAGGTTAGTGGCGTTTCCGTACGTCAAAAATCGTACGATTTTCACTGCTCATGCGCAAACGAAAATACGCGCGGTCGATCACCGCAATTCGTCCAGGTGCTTTTCTTTAATTACGGCTAATTGAACCTTGCGATAATCGGGGCAGGGTGGGGCCCCCGTACGACAATCGAAGGACAGTTCGATCGGACGAAATGTTTCGTACGATAATCGTAAGGTGTATGGCCACATTAACTCAATCAGCATTGCAGAGTGATCTCCAGCCTTGTCCTCGTCAACACTGACACCTGTGTTAATGAGGGAATCACTGACATAATGTCAGCTGGTCCTTTTGTGGCAGGGCTGAAATGCAGTGGAAATGTTTTTTTGGGGATTGAGTTCATTTTCATGGCAAAGAGGGACTTTGCAATTAATTGCAATTGATATTATCACTCTTCATAACATTCTGGAGTATATGCAAATTGCCATCATACAAACTGAAGCAGCAGACTTTGTGAAAATTAATATTTATGTCACTTAAAACTTTTGGCCACGACTGTACAACAAAGTCTTAGTTAGAGTGGAAGGAAGAAAAGAAGCCCCATGCCCCAGCACAACATTACCCTTATGAATAACCAGAAAGGACTCTTTACAAGGTCAAGACCACCAACAAAAGCAATCCTATGCACAAAGGCCTTCACTAGAACGTGAGAGGCAAGCAGCCACTAAAAAATTGTTAGCGAAAGAATAAAGGCAAAAATTTTGCCTGTGGTTGTACTCAAGGCTAAACATTGGTCTAGTCCAGACTGAAGAAAAGATAAGATGTATGCCAGAGTATTTTCTGCCATAAAACTTTCTCGCCAACACCAAGCAAAAAAAAAAAAAAAGCCTTCAAGATTCAACGGTAGACCTTGTGGAAGGTTGATTTCTCATCAATGAGAAGCATAGGGATGGCAGCACCCGCATTGCCTCTGTGCTTCAGCTCTGGGGTTTAGCAACCAGGCCAGATCAATGAGGATCACTGGAATGCCTTCCGTCTCGATCTAGCAAAGGACACCAGTAGGACATATTGAAATAAAGGTCCCAAACACCTCCGGGAGTAGGGACCATTCCCCAATATCCAGATGTTGATGACTGGGAAGTTCGTCTGGCAATTTTCCACTCGAGGGTTGTGGACAGCAGACATGGTTGGGACATAAAATTAGGCCCACGCCAGAATTAGGTATGCTTCTCTTTGAGCTGCACAATTTCTGTAGCCTCCCTTATGGTTGATGTAAGCCATGACCGCACCCTAATCTGACTTAATTACGGTCAGGTGACCCTGTAACTGGGAGGGGTGTCCAGCCTTGGAGGGATGGGTGACTCCTGAACTGCAGAGTCTGAGCATGAGAGCATATGAAAAGGATCTTTTTTATGGGGTAAGGAAGACCCTGGACAAAGCAGGGGCCAGGTACTCCAAGTGATGAGAGTTCCAGTGTGGAGGAGAGTGGGAGGGGTTATATAAGGCTCTCCAAACAGCTTTTATTTGCCAGTGACCTGAAGAGAGCTGCAAAACCCATCAGTCCAACCTGTGTCCTTGTGAGGTACGATCAAGAAAACTTTCCAAGAAGCCTCCAGGTACTAGGTCCTGTACATTTTTTTGAATGTCTATCATGAACTGCATATCTGATATTTCCCCAATGTGGCTCAACGATGTTGAGGTCAGGAGATTGTGATGGCCACTCCAAAACCTTCACTTCTTTCTGTCGCAGCCACTGAAGGGTCGACTTTGCTCTATTTTTCAGATCACTGTCATGTTGTAAAGTCCAACACACATGACAAATGGCTAACCTTTTAAAAATTATGCCAGGGGTATGTAAACCTATTAAAACAGTATAAACCACAAGCTTTTAGAATAGGGTTTAAAGAGTAACAGGACCTGATAATCAGTGAAGTTATGCAGAAAGGGTCTAAAAGGAACCACAAAGCACCCTTAATACTTAAAATGTATTTCCACCTTTGCAGCTAAATGGGGATAACACATATTTTTTGTTACATGTTCCCATTCACATGGCTTGAGCTAAAAAGTATTTTAAACTGCTTCTTGCAGTTTAAATTGCTTTTACTTGGGTTGTGGTGTCTTGGCTTCTTAAGGGTTACAATTTCCACTTGGCTTCTCCTTCTTTGTAAACTTAGGGAGGGCGGATGTTTGCATTTTATGTTAAGTTAATGGGAGAAACACAATCCTCAAATTTCAGTCCTACGTCTTTCTAGAAAGACACCTGTCAAATTTGACTGCAAAAGTGGAATTGCACTTTAAGCTGTTTAATTTTAAAAAAATTATATTGGAAAAAAGCATTATAGAACCTGAGTCGGAGCAAATAATGCATACATTTACAATAATAATAATAATAATGTGTTCTGTTCACCCAAGCCAAGAATAACACAACTCCATGCAACTTTTTGTCTATACTGTCACAAAAAAAAATGCTGTATAAAAAGAGATTTTTCTAGTACAAGGGGGAGAAAGTGCTTGGCACTGGACCTTTCAAACAAACAGATTATTCAACCTAAATCCATCTTTTACATAAACAGTAGGTGTTCGTAAGAGGAGGACAAACAGTTTTATTTCTCATGGTTGTTTACCTCTCAGGACTGTGAGTTTGGCACTAACTGTAGTTTCACCATTACTGTTATGGGCAACACATTCATATACATTTTCATCTCTCGGTGTTCTAAGAGGCTGAATACGAAGAACTGCACCAGCACCTTCATCGAACTCGATTGTCTGTGGAGAGAGATAGAAACAAAATGGGGAGCAAAACATGCAGTAATTGTATTATTAGGTCAATTAAATATTTTCTGGTTGCAGTCACACTTATCCATTTTAATATCACATGGTGTTCATTGACATCATTGGAAAATATTGAAAACGACATGCATTTCTATTGATTTCAATGCAAATTAAAGACCTTTAAAGGGGACAAGGATTTTATGTAGAATAGGGAATGGTTAAATCCCCTGTCCACTTCTTTTTTTTTTTTTAGTTGTCAGTATACTGTTGGAAAGATATGCAACAGGAAGTGAGAGGAAACATCCCAAAGTGATAGTAATTCCCCTTTTAGACAGCTGTCACGAACACGTGTCCCCTTTGGAAGATTCCCAATGGTCACAATGGTCACCGAGACAGAAAACGAGGGGTCATTCTTACCAACGGGGACAAAGATGTAAAAAAATTTGATAGTGGGTCTAACTTTTCCAAACAAAAAAGAGAAAACTTTTGCCTTTACATACACTTTTACTGGTTAGCTATAAAACTGTTTACTGTATAAATAAAGGGAAGTTAATGGGGGGGGAGAAGAAGCAGAGTGAGGAGATGAGAGAGGGAGTAAGGAGAGGGGATGGGAACTGAGTGGGAAGGGAATTAACTGTTTTATGTTTGGATAGGTTAGGATGTAGGTTAAGATAGGGCCTAAGGTCTTCATCATGATGGATCTATGAATGTTTATACCTTTTTCTATAAAGGTGGCTCAAGTGATAAAGGAGTGGAGCTGACATCCATCAGTTGGAGAATTAAATTATGTTACTGGACCCAAAAGGTTTCTCATTCGTGAGCCCAGAATAATGAACTATAGACCAATCTGCTTTTTTGCATCTCCAACAAATCACAGAGGTTTGTGGGTAAATATTATGAAAGGTGGATTGCATCCTTTACCATCCTGTCAATATTTTGTAGTCCATTTCCTTGAACCTGTTGGAGATTAAAGGGTAATGGACAGAATACAAACGATTCCTGCCAGCCAGGTATAACTCCTCCCACTGCCAGCATGCTACCGTTTTGGAGAAAAGCAGTATCAAGTGTAAATCACAAATAGAGAGAGGCGGGACGTGGTGACCCTTAATTAAATCTATTAAATGGATTGTACAGTAATTTAAAAAAATCTGATTTCTTTCTCATTCATTAATGGGCACAGGATTCAGTTATTAAGAAACAATTCCAGGAACATTCAAAAGCAGTATAACTGAGAAGTGGACAACAGTAAGAAAACTAACAGGCCCTCATAACAGAACCTTCAGGTTGATCTTAGTAAAAAGTGGGTCAGCCTGCATCTCAAATAGCTGCTTGAAGGACCTAGCTTAAAATGAACATTCACCTGGTAAAAACTAAAAGAAAATGTGAACAGAAGACCAGGAGGTAGCCTTGCCAATCTGAGAAACAATTGCAAGATACCGAAAGGCCCAAGAAGCAAATCACAGACATATTACAGTGCGCTTTAACAGGTAAAGGTGGAACCCTGCTCTTAAGATTATAAGCTTGATCAATGATCGGTCTTAGCCACCTCAAAATGGAGGCGTGAGAAACAAGTTCCCCCTTACGAGGACCATTAGAAATGACAACGATTAGAGGCAGTCTTCCAAATGGAAGCAGTGGCAGAGAGGTAAACCAAAAAAAGCACCAACTACATGCTGGACAGAAAGATGGAAAAACAAACTCCTGGTTGAGGATAAAAAGACAAAATCACCTTAGGAAGGTAGGAGGCTCCAGGACTAAATACCACCTTGTCCTTTTGCGGGACCATATTGGATTCTTTAAAAGGACAAGTCTGCCAGATCAGACCCACGTCTTGCAGAGGTTATGACAACAAAGAACGCAACCTTGTGAGCGAGTCTGGCAAAGGGAAAATCCATCTGGAATATGGGTTTAAAATGCCGTCTTAGAATTGCCAACAGAACCAAATTTAAATCCCACGGAGTCACTGGTGGTTGTACAGGAGGCACCCATGGAACATACCCTGAACAAAAGTCTCAACTAATGAATGGGAGGCTTGTCGTCTTTAGAATAAAAATGCAGATTCCTCCCTCAACCAAGTCTCTTTAGGCTGACATCCATTACAATAATCTTCCAAGAGGGAGAACGGTAGAAATGCAAAAAGGGGGGCAATAATGGTGCTCAACTGTATTACAAAAATGTAGTAGCACTCAATACTTGGCCCACATGGCGTACTCATTAAAAAGTCTTCAGAGACTGGGTCCAAGATGCAGTGAATCCAGCGAATTCCATACAGCAATAGACAATATCTAGCGGGAGTTAAGGTTAAATTAAAAAAAGCATGTCACACCAGACAAAGATCCATCGCAACATACTGAAAGGTAAAGGTAGGTAATTTATTCCTTAACCATAAAAAGTGACATTTCAAGGGACCTCTTCATCAGAACCTGGAAAAGGGTACACAGTGGTCTGGAAAGGACCGCAAGCAGAGCCCAGGGCCTGCAGGTCACAATCCATGGAGGCCCCACAATTTTCAGTCCAGTGAGGTCTGGGTACAGACTCCAAAGCTAATGCTGAGGATACACTAATCCAGACAGCCGAATAAAGAGCTGAGTTCACCACCATGTAGATAAAGGCTTCATTGAAAAAAAAAGAGAAAATTATTAGTAAAAATGGTAAAACTTTTCTCCATAAAGAAAAGATGTCCATCCTCCTAGTACACTAGCAAAAATGAAAGCATGATGGGAGTGAGAGATGTTACACCTGGCTGGCCAACAGCTATTTTGTTTGTTAGTGTATAAATTTCTCCTGAAGGATGGCAGTATAAACTAATAGTCTTTGATTGAATCCTGTGTCCCTTGAGAAAAATGTATGAAGTTTATTAGCAATACAAAATATGTTGGCGATGTTTAGTGATCAAAGCTTACCGTGACCCCCTTTTTTTTAGAAGGAGGAATTACACACATATAGCCAATAGTTGAATTTACTTTTGTACTTCTGTAGAAAAAGTAAATGTCTTCTGCGAGTTAGCAAATTGCAGAATCTGGGATCGTTTTGTTGTGTGCCCCTTACACTATGGGACATGTAAAAAAAATCTAATCTGTTCAGGCCATAATGCACCTCAAAAAGGGAATTTAAATAGTCTGATAGGCAGTTTAAAGTTGGAAACTAGTGAGACATAAGTGATATTAAATGCTTTTATGTTTAAATGCCTTGGAATGCAGGGACTTAGTTTTCTTTACAGTCAGATCGGCCAGGTTAAGTGGTGAATGCACCTATGGAGCTAGTCTTGCCGGAGCCTGTCTGTCTACCTACCTACTTCCCGGTCTGAGATCTGTTTGCATCACTCCTTTCCCTTCCCCTGATCATTTTTCTTCCATCATATATAGTTACTGCTTGCTGGACAGGCACTGTGTTTGCAGCTGACTACAAAAGGAAGTCAGTAAGTGTGCTTCTAACTTGTTGACACAAAGACCTCATTCACACAAGGAGATTTGGCATTCCTGCAGCAGGAACCTAGATTCCTACACCAGGAAGGCAAGAGGTGTCCATTCAGATGCAGCCGCTGTACCCATTGAAGTTAATGAACAGGTGACAGTGCGCATGTAATTGTATATGGTAAACTGGACACTCCTTAGACCAGGAATAGGCAACTTCAGCACTCCAGCTGTTGTGAAATCATTATGCATTGCAAAACTGTGAGAGCCATGAATATTACGGAATTTGTAGTTTCATCACAGCTACAGTGCTAAGGTTGCCTATCCTGGCGTTAAACACAATGTCAGAAAAGCACACTTTCCTTTGTCAGTTTCACACTTAGTTCTCTATCTGACCAATGACCAAGTTTACCCAATGCTGGTCTTGGTTCAACATACCGTAGGGTAGTTTATTTGCAACGGAAAGAAGTAAATCTATGTCAGGTTTGTTGAAAGAGAAATATATTGCTTATAAGTCACAATGAATAAAACCCCAATTAGTCCTGAAATGTATTTAGTGGTATTTTAGCATAACACCTTACAACTCTGTGTTAAGCTGTTATTCAAGATGTCAACTCTATATGGTCTAGCAACATTCCCAAATAACTAAGACATTTATGCACAAAAACTGCATCCTGTAAACAAAAAACCAAAGTTTTAACAAGCGATAATTAAAAGGTAAAGTAAGCAGGCATTTTATTTTTACCTCAAATCGTTGAGAGTTCACTTTCTTGCCACGTTTGTTCCATGTGACTCGGGGCTTGGGATCACCTGTAGCCTGACATACAAAAGAAGCCACACCCCCCGAAACACCAATTTCATCTGTGGGCTTTTTGATGAATTCTGGAATACCTTAAAAATAGCACGAAACATACTACTATCACAAACATTATGAATACATGTATATAACCTATACATATTGCATGGCATTGGCAATGATGTTCATTTAAAGTCACTGTGCCATAAATTGCGTCCATGGGAACAACGGAGCTATAAGTCCTTGGAGTGCCGGTGGCGGCACATAAGGTAGAGGGACCTCTCACGACCTTGACCTTTCTGGGGGTGGTTCTGGACACGGTCGCCATGCAGGAAAGTTTGCCAGCAGACAAATTGGTTAGGATCAGGTGAGCCATGCATGCACTGGTGCTAGCCCCGACGTGTACCCGT